TTTTTTTTTTTTTTTTTTCAAACAAGAGTTGCAAAGTTATTTGCGGAACTGATTTTTAAATGGTTTCAACTCTTTTCTTTCTTTCTTCTTTCTTTCTTTCTTTCTTTCTTTCTTTCTTTCTTTCTTGGAGAGAGAGTGCAAGTGAATGAATAAGGGAGGGGCAGAGGGAGAAGGAGAGAGGATCCCAACCAGCTTCATGCCCAGTGTAGACCCCAAAATGGGGCTCGATGCCACAACCCTGGTATTATGACGTGAGCTGAAACCAAGAGTCAGACATTCAACTGACTGAGCCACCTAGGCACCCCTCAACTCTTTTCGAATGGAGCCAGAAGACACTGAAAAAAAAACCAACAACCCAGAATTTGAGGCTTTGTCAATTCATGAAGAGTAACAGCATTCAGGATGGAAGAAAACATCAACATTGTAAAATCAAAGATTGTGTGGTGTTTCTGAGAATTATTGCCCACCTTTGTGCCAGATAGAGATATAAAGTGTTTATTTTTAAAGAGAAGACTTACAGAAAGAAACAAGAAAAGACTCCTTGACTGTATCTTTTGTTACTTTGTTTTTACTTTTGAGTTAATCCTTTCAACAAGTCCTATGTATCTGCTGATGTTTTGTGTTTATCACCTTACCAGACTTTGGAAAACAAAAGTCTTGTCAGAACTGAACTTTGGTGAACAAATCCCATCCCACTTACCTTCTGGATTTCTTTAGGGTAATGATCTTCCTTCTATTTATTCCCAAATCTCTGTCTCTCAGTGAACCTCTTCCCTGCCTCCTGCCTCTGGGTTCACCTCCACTGGTACGTTAGCATTTGCCAGTTTCCGTGTTATAAATCTTGCCCCGTGGCTGAAGCACCCACAGAGATGCACAGTGGCATGCCATTACATCCTAATTCCACAATACACATACAATAGTCATGAAGAGCCCCAAGAGTACAGATAATAGTGAAGTGAAATAAAATAATTAGGAAGTAATAGCTTTTGAACGGTTATTACTATTTTAGAGTTTAGGTTCTAGATTTTATTACTTTTTGACTTGCTCAATCTTTAAGCAAATTATCTCTAAGAACTTCCAATACTTGCAGATAGAAGGCTCGGTCTCAAAATTTGTAGTAATTTGTAGTTTCATAAGACCGTCATCCTTTGGTTTCAGTGCTAAGAACATCCAGTTAACCTCCCCAACAGTGACAGATGTAAGAAGAGGGGCTCAGTCCCAGATTACCCTCATTTATTTAATTTTAAGTTCAGATAGTTTACTTTTTTTTTTTAATTTTTTTTCAACGTTTTTTA